AACAGGAGCCGGGAGAATTAGGAAGAGCCTAAATCATAGGAGAAGAGGAGCCAGGAGAATTAGAAAGAGCCTAAATCATAGGAGAAGAGGAGCCGGGAGAATTAGGAAGAGCCTAAATCATAGGAGAACTTCAATGTAGAAAGGACAAAGCACAGGAGAAACATCTGGAACAGCTGGGAAGACAATACCAACCTCACAGGGGATGCAACGCAAATGTTTCTCCTGTGCTATGTCCTTTCTACACTGGAGTTCTTCCTAAACAGAGAGGAAAAGGAGAGAAGGGTTTACCGGGTGCAGGAGGCGTACGCAAGTAGATATCCTCGCTGTAGTCTCCAAAGCCAGCTTTGTTGTATCCTCGGACGCGCAGCACGTAAACGCTATCCGTGTCCACGTACTCCACAATGGCGCTGGTGCCTCGCACCTCTTCCCGTCGCTGCCACAGTTTGAGCGCCTTGCCCTTGGGCTCAGCCCGCCGGAACTCCACCGTGTAGTGCCAGGCGGCTGGCGAGTGCTGCGGCAGACGCCAACAGAGGAAAATCTGGTCGTAGGCGTAGGTCCGCTGCGTGTCGATCACAGGAGCCTCTGGTGCTGCAACGGGAGAGGAGAGAGGGGAAGGCGCGAAACGTCAGACCGCGGCGGCACGACGCAGCCAAACGCTCTCCGGACTGATCGCAGATGATCAGTACAAGGTGCCGAAGGCGGAGAAGAGACGGGCGTGTCCCGCAGAGGAACATCGGAGAGGGAGAGGGACAAGAATCGGGGTGAGAGGCAAGCTGCTGAGAAGAATCCGGGGGGCGCAAGAGAGACTGAGTGCAAGTCGGGGGGAAAATCAGGGGAAGAGGTGAAGGAGGGAAGAGAGACAGGGATTGAGAGAAACGAGAGAATGGTGCAAGGAGACGGGAGGAGAGATGCTAAAAAGGAAAGGAATCTGATTTGGGAGACCATCAAAACTAACCAAAATTAAGCTGTTGGCTCCAACACGGTTCCCGTAGGGGCCAAAATAACCAAGATTCCCGCCATCTACCGGACACCCTGTTAGCTCTTGTTTTGTTCCAAATAAATTCATTCCAAAGCTAAGGGTAGTCCTCGGCTTACAACAGTTCATTTAGTGACCGTTGGAAGTTATAACGGCACTGAAAAGAATGATTAACTACCATTTTTCACACATATATATTTGCTGATGCTTTATTTAAACTAAATTTGTCTATTGGTGGTTGCATGACCTCTGTAGGTGCCGTACGCTAAATAAATGAACAACAAATAAGCAATGAAGTACAGGAAGTCAGCCAGGTGCTTTTAGAAGCAACAGATGATGATTAGAAGTAAGCTTGTTTTTTGTATTTAGGGGCGCCTTTGCTCTGCCCTCTGATTACATCTGCAAATAACTAAAGGCCTTGGAACTCACCCCGTAAAGAAGGGCCAGAGGCTCTGTTGAACTACAAGTCCCATCATGCACCCCCTAGCATGGCCCTGCTGGCCGAGAGGATAATGGGTACTGCTGGCCTACATTTATAAAGAGCATCAGGTTGAGAAAAGCAAGTCTTGAAGACATCAATATTAAAGACACTATAGCAAAAAAAGACATGGGGGTTTTTTTTGTGCCAGCCACCTGTTTGTGCCCACTCCCTGAGACTCCATTCCATCTTTTTTGACCCTATCTAACCTCGCTTTGCCTTCTTTTGGGGACTCCACAGTCAGGTGTCCACTGCCCTTAAGCGATTAACTGGCCTCCTCCGCAAACACATCTTCCATTCCAACCCATTTCCCAGCCAGGTTTAGTCCAACCGATCCGGGATACCAAAATGTCAACCAAATAAGCCATCTTATTTGCAAAACGTAGGGAGAGGCCACCGAAGGGAACTGCAGAGAGCCAAGGCGGGTAGGGAAGGTCTCTAGAACGCTCTCCGTCACCCACTCTTGGTGCAAATGAGCCTTCCAGCATGCTAGTCCTCAAGGGAAGCTCTTTCAGCCTTCAGGAGGACTAGAATGCTGTCTTTCAACCAGCGGTTTGAAATAATAGATCAGAAGGTTCCCCAAACCAGGTCAGAGGATGGCAGAGGAGGCAGGACGGATGCAATGGAAGGGCAGGAGGCGGTCCATGGGGCTGGGGAGAAGAAGAGAGAAGGGGGAAGAATCAGGGAGGGATGGGAACAGTGGAGTGGGATGTGACTTGCCTCAGTTTACCGCGGTGATGCCTCAGCAGCAGACACAGCCTATAAACAAAGAGAGGTAAAGCAAAGGGGTCAACAGCCACGCAGCTGGCAGGACCGGGCTGTGGGGTGGGCAGCCTTCAACGCGGCGGGAAACCAAAATTAAACCCTGGCTCCAAGGTGGTTCCCGTAGGTCTCAAAATAACCAGGATTCCCATGGTCTACTGGACACCTTGGCCGCGGTCCTTTTGCCCTAAATCCATCCGTTCCCAAAAAACTACAGCTGCTCCTCGACTTATAACGATTTGCTTAGCGATCGTTATAACGGCACTGGAAAAAAAGCAACCGTTTTTTCAGGCTTACGACCGTTACGGCAGCCCCCGGCGATCCGAAATTTAGATGCTTGGCGGCTTGACTCATATTTAGGACGGCCGCAGTGTCCCGGTGTGTGTGTGTGTGTGTGTGTGTGATGCGATCTCCTTTGGCGACCTTCGGACATGCAAAGTCAATGGGATCCACTTAACAACCGTGTTATGAATGGATGGGTCAGCAGGCCAAGCACCTGGTGGAATTGTGCCGGGGGGGGGAGCGGGCTCCGTGTCTCAAACTTTGGGCTGGCTGTGGATTATGGAGGGTGGCTGGGCCAGGAGGAAAGAGGGAAGCTGTCTGGGGCAAAGGGGGAATTAAGATAACACAAGTGAAGGGAATCAAAACATCCAAAACCATCTCAGGTGCTTCCGTCTGCAGGTGGGGGATAGGTAGGGAGAAGGATTGGGGGGGGCAAGGAGGAGATGGGTCCAGGGCATCCCCAACCCAGCCAAGGTGGACTCACCACCACGCCGATGGTTCCAAGCTCCAGGATCTTTCCGCTCTTCAACAGGTCATGCACGACACAAACACAACACAAACACAACACAGCATGTGCCCCGAGGGGCTCACAGCACAGTACTGGCATTCCTGTTGCGGGAAATTCTGAGATATTAAGATCTTTGGAGTCGTGTTTCTCAACCTTGACAACTTGAAGAGGGGTGGACGTCAACTCCCAGAATCCCCCAGCCAGCCTGATTTAAGAAGGGTGGACTTCAACTCCCAGAATCCCCCAGCTAGCATGCTTTAAGACATGTGGACTTCAGCTCCCAGAATTCCCCAGCCATCCCTGCTGGCTGGGGAATTCTGGGAGTCAAAATTCACCCATCTTAAAGTTGCCAAAGTTGAGACACACTAATCTACAGGTACTTACAACCCTGTGCAAAGCAGTCTGAAACTATATTGGTAACAACTAGCACACCTGCCATTTACAAGTCACCCTTGTTTAGCAACCAAAATGGGAGCCAACAACACGGCCGTTAAACGAGGCAGTCCCTAAGTAGCACCTCGACCGTATTTTGTTTCGCTTTACAGACCCGCCAAGATCGTCATTGTGAGAACTGATTGCAAAGTTACTTTTTTCATCACGAACGGTCGCTAAACGAGGCAGTCACTAAATGAGGACAATCTGTAGTGACTTGAGAAAGAGGGATGTGGTAATAGAAACGGGAGATTTTAAGAAATTTCCAAGCGAAATGGCCCGAATCTACAAGCTGCCAGTTTAATTTTTTGGGAAAAATTAACCCAAAAAAATAGGGTTTTTGGGAATACATGAAAAGATCCAATTTTGTCGTAGCTGGAAGGGAGAATTTTTCCTGCCTCCCGAAGCAGGCCAGGCTCAAAAAAGATCGGCTTTCTACGCACCTTTAATAAAAATGAGGTCTGTAAGCAGCTTTATTTCTCGGCTCACGTCCACCTGGAATTGGCTGAAGGAGGCGCTGGCCGCTGGCCGGAACGCCTGGAGGGAATCGGTCGCTCTGAGGATCCTGTCGCAGGACGGAGCAATCAAGACGGAAGCAGAGAGAATCAGATAAGGGGGGGAAAAAACGTCTGAGCATAGATCAACCACTACCGCTTCCTTGATTGCAACGGACATAAACGCACATATATATTAAAGAGAATAACAGAATAATAACAAAATATTCTGAAATTTGGATGTTCCTTGATCCTAGTGCTGATTACTTAGGAAAACATATTTTCTCTTTTCTGTGGCTCTTGCTTAATTTACTCTTGCTAGAGAAGGTATAGCCAGCGCTGTGTCTACCAGGGATACTTGCAGATGGGAGGGAGGGAGGGAAAAAAGAAAGAAAGAAAGAAAGAAAGAAAGAAAGAAAGAAAGAAAGAAAGAAAGAAAGAAAGAAAGAAAGAAAGAAAGAAAGAAAAAGAAAGAGAAAGAAAGAAAAAGAAAGAAAGAGAAAGAAAAAAGAAAGAAAGAAAGAAAGAAAGAAAGAGGGAAGGAAGGAAGGAGGGAGGGAGGAAGGAAGGAAGGAAAGAAGGGAGGAAGGAAAAGTGACAAAGAAGGGAGGGAGAAAGAGAAGGAAGGAAGGAAGGAAGGAAGGAAGGAAGGAAAAGTGACAAAGAAGGGAGGGAGAGAGGGGAGGAAGGAAGGAAGGAAAGCAGAATTACAGAGTAACAGGATTGGAAGGGATCTTGGAGGTCTTCTAGTCCAACCCCCTGCTCAGGCAGGAAACTCTCATCAAACTCAGGTCTGCCTCGACTTACAACGGCAATGAGGAACAGTGGAATCAGATGGCCATTAAGCGAACCACAGCGTCATTCCGTGAATCCAGCCAATGGGTATTTTTTGGTTTGGCCTGTTTTTCAGAGAAACGCACCTGTGATGCAGCTGCTTGGCGGCCTGGACAAAACAGGGCTGGTCTGTTTCCTTCAAGATCTCCTGGGAGTAGCCCACCATGCCCGAATTCTCCAGCATGGCCTGGTGTTCCTGCAGCTGGCCTTGCAGGCGAGCGACCCGGTCTTGGCGACAATCTTCAATGGCGTTAAGCAGAGCGGCTCGCTTCTCGTCCAGCAGGCTGCTCAAATTGTTCATCAGCCGAATGACCTCTTCTTTGGCCTGGGTGCCGTTCACCTGCAAGACAAGGGCCGATTATTAGACAAGCCGGGTGCCACCCCGAAGGGACTTCCTTCCTCCCTCCCTCTGCGCCGGCATTTTGCTCCTAAAATGTCAGAATAGAATAGAATTAACAGAGCTGGAAGGGACCGTGGAGATCTTCTACTCCAACCCGCTGCTCAGGCAGAATAACAGAATAATCACAGAATAAAAGAGCTGGAAGGGACCGTGGAGGTCTTCAACCCCCTGCTCAGGCAGAGTCACAGAATAATCACAGAATAAGAGAGATGAAAGGGACCGTGGAGGTCTTCTAGTCCAACCCCCTGCTCAGGCAGAGTCACAGAATAATCACAGAATAAGAGAGATGGAAGGGACCGTGGAGATCTTCTAGTCCAACCCACTGTTCGAGCAGGAAAACTCTGCACAGGTCCCTTCCAACTTTATTATTATTATTATTATTATTATTATTATTATTATTATTATTATTATTATTATTATTATTATTATTATTATTAGGCTCGAGAGAACACAAATTTGTACAACGTCATACTGTATTGCTTTGGGGACAAATTTGTTAAACCTCCTAGTTCTCCTGAATTACAACCCATTATTTTACAGACAAAAAATGGGGAAGCCAGGAAGGAAGTGCCAAATTGGTGTCCCAAATTTTTCTCGTTGTTTGGGCCTGGCGTCAACCTCAACAGAAGAACGACAAAAGTAACATTACCTCCGCAAGCCGAAGAGTCTCTTCCAATTCGTTGATTTGAGCCTGAACCGTGTCTTGATTGCTCAGGATATAAGCTATGCTTTTGGTCAGCTTTTCCTGCGAGTGAGAAAAATACGGTGAAGCAACGGGGTGGAGGGTGCGATCCTACAGGCCCCCGATCATTGTCAGGCTTCAAAACCCAAGACAGATCCCTTTGTGATTCTTCCAAGGAGGTTTATTTATTGTTCCTCGCCCAGAGACAGAATCTTGACAGACTAAAGCACGCTAACATACCGATAAAAGCCCATTCCCTGGGAACTTTTGAGGAGGAGCTGCCTTCGCCCTCTCTCTCATACACTAACTCTCTGAACGGAGTCGTTTTTTTGCTCCTCGGGAATTCAATCCCTCCCTCCCTTCTGCATGACATCGTATCACAGCCGAGGATTAAAAACCATCTCAAGACCCTCATTAGTAGAGGCTCATTTGGCAAAATATATATATATAAAATCGTATTTTGTGTCCAAGTCAACGACTCGCAAAGAAAAAAACGGGAGATTTGTCTATTTTATCACAGAGGAAATTTTCGTTTTCGTTGCCCGGAAAAACAGGAGATGTGTTCCCATAATCCACTCCAGGCCTCAAAGACCATCCTGAGTGCAGTATGAACCCCGAGCAGTTTTCCTTCCTAAAGTCATCAAGCCAAGATGGTTTTAATTTTTTTATTTTTTTAAAAAAAAATGTGTTTCTCCTTGGTTGGCCAATCAACTTCAAGGACTTGGAGATGGAAAAGAAAAAAGAAAAAAGAAAAGAAACGGACGACTTTCTACAAAAATCTCACCTTGAGTGCCTGGTAGGCGCTGAGCACAGGTGTGATTTTATGACTTGTGTGCGTGCGACGAACTCGGCACAACTGGCACACCAAACGCTGGCAGGTTTTGCAATAATGCGTCACCTCTTCCCGGTGTTCGGGGCACATCAGACCCTGCAGGGGAGACAAAACGAAGCCGGCTGGAGCACTTCGCAACCAGGACAGGACGGACCCACAACGTGCGCAGGGGAAGATCAGGGGGCAAAAAAAAGAAGCCAGTTATCACAGGGAGTCCTCGTTTAGTGACTGCGCTCTACGGCAATCGGCCGAAGCTACAACAGAGATGAAAATTTGGTGACCAGTCCTCGCGTTTGTGACCTTCGCGAGTCTGCGAAGCAAAGGGAAGCGGGAGGAAGAGCGTCGGTTGTGCTTTCCCTTCGCCGATTGCGGTCACTAAACGAGGAGGCCTGTATGATCTCACTGCTTTGAGCTCCCGAGCGCAAGGTAGGATATGAGTCTAAGAAATAAAAACATGAAGGTGGTCTTCAAATCCAAGAGGTGAAAACACGAGTGTGGTCTTCAAATCTAAGAAACGAAAACACGAACGTTTCCTTCCAAGCCAAGAAACAAAAACAGAAGACAGAGTTGGAAGGGACCTTGGAGGTCATCTAGTCTTCAGTTAAAGGAATTAGGGGGCACCTTTTGAGCCCTGGAAAGCGAGAGGGGAGCCTTACTTTGGGACGGAAGGTGAGAGTCGGAGGGATGGGCTCGTGCTGGGCTTTCTGTGTCCCCCACGGGTGGTAAAGTTTGAAGCACTCGTTGCAAAAGCTGGATCGGCACTCGGTACAGCCCTTGGTGGCCTCCAGCTGTGGCGGCTTGCAGAATTGGCACATGATGGCCGCGTTGACGTTGATGGTGTGGCGGTAACGCTCCACTACCCGTTCCAGCGTCAGGTTACGGAAGAGGCTGCCCAAACCTCGCTCGCCCAGGTCCACGTCTCGCTGGCACAGCGGGCACGGAAAGAGGATGCTCTGGGGGTGCAAGACGCCCCCTCGTTTCCGGCCAGGATACGTGCCGAAACCTGGGCGGAAGGAGAGACATGGGGGACATCATTACAAAGGAGAAATAAATTCTTAATGTTATTTCGGAGAGAGAGAAAAAAAGAGAGAGCTGCCATAGGCAGGAGCAGTCTATCTCTAAGTATATCCGGATGGAAAGATTTGTTCTCTCTCTCTCAAAAGCTCTGCCTTTTCTGGCTGGTTCTGGGATACCTGTCCAAACCTGGATTGTCTGCCCTCAAGATGATGTCGACCCTCCGCAACTATTATAAAGCCAGTCCTCTACTTACGACAGTCCATTTAGTGACCGTTTGAAGTTAGAACGGCACTGGGGGGGGGAAAAGTGACTCAGGAACCGTTTTTCACGCTTACGACACTGCAGCATCCCCGGGGTCAAAATTCAGACGCTCGGCAACCGACTCGTATTTATGACGGTCGCCGTGTCCCCGGGATCCCCCTTTGGCGTCCTTCAGGCCCGCAAGAATCAACGGGGGAGACCAGATTGTGACTGACTTGACCGCAGCAGTTGATTCGTTTAACAACCGCGGGGCAAAACTCACTGAACGGCCGTCTCGCTTAGCGACAGACATTTTGGGCTGAATGGTGGTCGTACGTCCGGGGACCGAAAGATCCAATCCCCCAAGATCTCAAACAGATACCCGATTTCAGAAGCCGGTCCAGGCGCTCCGGTTTTGGCACGATCCGGCGCCCTAAGCGTGGACTCCGCGTGACTGGCGTGGACGCCGGAGATGTGGGCTCCGAGGTGGGGTCCGGACAGATGTAACCCTGCTGGAGCAGGACTTCGGTGGCGCAAATGTGGCAAACGCTGTGCATGCACGGCAAAGCCAGGGGCTGCTTGTACATCTCTTTACAAAGCGGACACAGCAGTTCCCTCTCCATGTTTTTCATGCTGGTCTGCAAAAAAGGAGAAGGGAAAAAACAAAAAAAGGAGGGGGGGAGGAAGGAGGGATGAGGGAGAAGCCAGGTTGGAAAAACAAAACAACAACGCGAAAGCCGTTTCTGCAAATAATGGCCTATTTTGGCCACCTCGTCACGAGATCGAATCAGCTGTCGGGGATCTTTGTCGATGTTATTCCGCCTGTATTATTTTTTACGAGGAACTCAAGGTGGTTAACCTATTCAACACGCCCTCCTCCTCCTCCTGTTTCCCCCAAAACAACGACCTTGTGAGGTGGGTTGGGCTGAAACTTATTTTCTGAAGGTCACCCAGCTGGCTTTCACAGCTAAGGTGGGACTAGAACTCGCCGTCTCCTGGTGATTGACCTCAAGTCACCTAAATGGCTTCCACGCCCAAGGCAGGACTAGAACTCACCGTCTCCCGGTGATTGACTCAAAGTCACCTAAATGGCTTCCACGCCTAAGGCAGGACTAGAACTCACCGTCTCCTGGTGATTGACTCAGAGTCACCTAAATGGCTTCCACGCCTAAGGCAGGACTAGAACTCACCGTCTCCTGCTTTTTAGCCTTGTCCATTCAAATGACAAAACATCAGCTGCCGAGGACGATGGGGCTTGCAATCCAGAAGCCCCTCAGACATTGGCTGGAGCTGAATCTCCCCCTCCCCACCCAATAAATCTAACAAAGTAATCAGGACTCCATCCTGGCTTGCTAAGAATAACCCCGGCCTGTTTTACAGCTCAAGAGAGTGTTTCCGAGGCTCGCAGCCAATCAATCAAAAAAAAAAAGGGAGATTTCACCCCCTCCTCCTCATAAAAGAACTTGGTGGGCCAGGAAGCCTCAGCAGAACTCCTAAGCCAGGCAGCCTTAGGAGAACCTCTCTGTCCAGGGGCAATCTATCTGCAAAACCAGGTTCAGATGGATCCCAGCTTCAGCAGAATAAGAGAGAGAGAAAAAAAAGAATATTTCCCCCCCCAAAGATCTAAAAATGACTTTCTCCTTGCTCCCACCTGGGATCTGTCGAGGATCAAGGGCTCTTTCTATGCCCGCTGACCCCACTCTCTTCATTATATTTTAATTATATTTTAATTAGACTATATTTAAATATTTCCTTTTAATTAATTTTAATCTTGTAATTGTCATTGGTGTATTTTTAATCGATTGTCAGCCGCCCTGAGTCCGCAAGGAGAAGGGCGGGATATAAATTTAATAAATAAATAAATAAATAAATAAATAAATTTCCCCCCATCGCCATGCATGGAAAGATCCCCCCCCCTTCCCAAGCAGCTTGGCTAACTGCCCGGTCTCTCTGCTCTCTGCCGTGAACCCTTCAAGGGCATCCATTCCTGGATGCTCCTGCCCTCCCCCCAGGGTCTCCCCATGCTTGGCGCCACGTGAGACCCCCACCGACATCGACCCACTGCCCATCCGGTGCCAGGGGCTCCAAGTTTCCAACTGCAGCAAATTTCCCCCCATCCTAGTTAGGCGGAAAAGGGCTGGCCAAGCCCCGCCCACTCCTCCGTGGCCCATCTTCCAAAGCCAGGCTGGGAAGCATGGGCTTCCCCTCTTGGGGGGGGGGGAAGGGCGAGGGTGGGGAAGGGGGTCTTACCTTGCCTGCCCTCTGCCGGGGTGCCATTTCCTTCCTTGGCAACAGCAGGCGGGGGNGCAAAATAGGCCCTGCCTTTCCTACGGTTGTCGTCCTTGACCCCGGACCCACGCAAGGCCTTCAACAACCTCGAAAGCCTGATTTTCGGCAAAGGGTTCCAGGCAAAGGTCTTTCCTGAAAGTGAGTCAAATGCAGACAGGGTGGGTGCTTTGGGGGAGCTGAATGGATTATCCTGATTTTTACCTGGATTTTGTGTTGTTTTTTTTTGTTTTCCTCCCCCGCCATCTACAGTTATTTCCTGTCTCCTCCTGGCCCTGTTTGCATCAGGACTGATTCACCGAGTGTGTGTCACTACTTGGTAAGGACAGAGGTGGGCTGGTGGGGGGTGGGAGAGGCACAGAGAGAGAGAGAGATTAAATTGGGGAGGGGGATGAATTAAACTTTATAATGCCTTGGTAAGACCACACTTGGAAGACTGTGTCCAGTTTTGGAGGGCCGCGAGGCTAAACGGTTGCAGGAATTGGGTATATCTGGTTTAGTGAAAAGAAGGACTAGGGGAGACATGATAGCAACGTTCCAGTATTTGAGGGGCTGCCCCAAAGAAGAGGGAGTCAAGCTATTCTCCAAAGCGCCAGAAGGCAGGAGAAGAAGCAATGGATGGAGACTCATCAAGGAGGGAACCAAGAAGTAAGGAGGAATTTTTTGACAGGGAGAAAAATTAATCAGTGGAACAGCTTGCCACCAGAAATTGTGGATGCTGCCTCACTGGAGGTTTTTAAGAAGAGATTGGACAGCCATTTGTCTGGAATGGTACAGGGTCTCCTGCTCAAGCAGGGGGTTGGACTAGAGGACCTCCAAGGTCCCTTCCAACTCTTATCCAGACACGAATCCTCAATCCAAACAATTCTGGCTAAGGGGTGGTCTGGATTTCAGCACGTCGGCTGGCTTGAAGTCTGGAGAAAGAGATTTCTGCGTTTTGGAAGAGCAGCTGAATATTATCAGTGTAGCTTAACTATGAGGGGGGGGAGCCCAACGCCTTAAGTCTAAAGGGGGGGGAGGACTTGGCCCACCTCTAAGGCAATTAAAGGAGTTTAAAAGAATCCCACCTGGATAAGGAATGTGAGCCAAAAAAAAATCCTAGTTTTTTTTTTTTTTTTAAAAAACACTTTGAAAGTCCTTGTTGGGAGGGAGAGATGGAGGGAGAGAAAGGAGAAAGATAAGCAGAGGAAGAAAGGAAGGGAAGGGACGGAAATTGGAGAAGGAGGGAGGGATAGATAGATGGGAAAGGAGAGGAAGGAAAGGAAGGAGAAGAAAGATAGAGGGAGGAAGGAAGGGCAAAGGGAAAGAAAAGGAGAGAGAAAGAAGTAGAGGAAGGAGAAAAAACGGAAGGAAGAAAAGAAAGGGAAGCAGATAAGGAAAGAAAGGATTGGAGGAGAGGGGAGGGAAGGGGAAGAAAGGAGAAATAGAAGCAGAGGAAGAGGAAAGGGAGAGAAAAAGTAGAGGAAGGAAGGACAAGGAAAAAAGACAAGAAGGAAGAAAAGCAGATAACATTAGGAAACGAGCGGAAGGAAGGAAGGAAAGGGAGCGAAGGAATAAAGGAAGGAAGGAATAGAGGAAGGAAGGACTCATCTATCTGTCTATCCACCTTCTACCCACCCTCCCAGTCCTGGGGGAAGCTTGCCTTGGCCCTCCCCCTGGAGAGCATCCGTTCCCCACTCCAGTGTGGGGTGGAAAGACCCCCCCTTTCCCGGGGGGGGGAACAATCCTAACCTGAGCAACTTGGCTGCTCTCTCTTCCCCTGCAGTTTGATCTTCTCCCTGGTCGCCCTCTACTACATCCAGAAGATCTCCTCCACCCTCTACCAAATGGCCACCCCCGTCTCCGTGCCCGCCAAGACGGTCAGCAAGAGCCGGAAGAGGAATTGACGATGGGACATTCTCCCCCTCGCCCTCCAAAGGGGCAGGAATACGCCCTGGATAAAATTCAATAAACCTTTTCTTTCTTTCTTTTTTTATAGCGAAAACAGCAACCAGACTGGTGTCTTTTTCTTTTTTGTTTTACAGCTTTGAGTCCTCTTGCCTTCTTATTGCCAGCTTTTCGTGAGCGCTTTGCAAAATTTAAGTATATTTCCCAAGTGTTTATCTGGAACGAGCTACCCCCCGAGATCCGGACGATTCCGGATCTCCTAACCTTCCGCCGCGCCCTCAAGACATGGCTTTTTCAGCAAGCGGGACTGACCTAGGGTGAATTTTAAATAGGGATAATTTTTAATGATTTTAATAAGAGACACAGCTACAAATATTTGGTTTTTAATTGGCTTTTATTGGGGAAATGTATTATNCCCCATCCGGCCATGTATTGCACAGAGGGATGGGGGGCATCCCCTTTCTGCGTGGCTGCAGCCGCCCCGGTTTTTGTGCAACGCCCCCCCCCCTCCCATCCATCCATCCATTCATCCATCCATCCTTCTATCCATCCGACACCACCACCACCCCCCAGCCCGGTTCTCACGCTTATCCGGACGAGGGCGTCCATGATGGAAGTAAAGGAGTGGAGGTCGTCGCCCTCGGCCATGTCTCCCGGGGATGTGGGACGGGGATGCTCCCAGTGTGTCCCCCCCTCCCCCTCCCCGCACAGCGCCTGCGAACGCCTCGGTCTATTGCAGCTGGGACTGAGCGGTTGGGGGGGGGGAGCGGGAGGAAGGGGGAGTGCGCATGCTCGGGGGAAGCTCAACCCAGCAGGGCTCCCCCCCCGCCCACCCACTCCCACCTTAGAGAGGGGGGGGAAATGCTTTGCATGGGGATCTGCATCGCGGTTGCTGGAAGCCCTGGGGATTTGCAAGTGTCAAGGGGATGGGGGGAGGGTCACCCAAGCCGGGGTTCTGCATCAGGGTGAGCCCCGGGAGCCGTCTGCACAAGATCAGAGGCTGTCTTGCCCAGCTGGGCATGCCCAGCCCCGATGGAAAGGCCGCCTCTGAGCCTACGCAGAGTGCCTCTCCGCGTCTGCAGGGCAGAGGGGGAAGACGAGCTTGCAAATGATTGCAAAGGCGACTCCTATATATATATATATATATATTATCATCCCCCCCAATCTTTGCCAAAGCGAGGGGGCGGGTCTCGAACCCGCGAAAAGATTTCACGCTTTGCTTTGTTCGACGCCTCGGGCAAGGGAGAGGCGTGCGGCTGCACGCGCCCCCTAGCGGCGAGCCGGTGAAAAAGGCACTCCGCCTATTGACGAGGCAAGGCAATGACTGCGCATGTACCAAGGCGCTCATTCGGTCTCCTTTTGTGCGCAGGCGCGGAAGGAAAAAGTACACGTCGGCGCTCAGCCCCGCGCGCGCGCACTGAGGAGCTTCGGCGTGGTTGGAAGAGGCTCTTCTCGGCAGCGCATGCGCAAGGCAGACAGACGCTCTGGTTCAAACCGAGGAGGGCTCGTTGGCTCGGCGGACGGAACGGGGGCGTCGCGCTGCGCATTATGGGTAACGTGGTCTCTGGGAAGGGAGAGGTGGGCATCGGATCCCCCCCTAAGGGCACCCTGGGTAACGTGGCACGGTGGGTGAGGCAAGACAAATGAGAGAGGCCAGTTCATTACACAGAATCCCCCCAAACTGTGTTGGACTACAACACCCATCGTTCCCAAACAGCTTCCCTGGGCATAAACACTACTTGTGTCATTGTGTGTTTGCTTTCATACTAACGGGGCATTCTAGGCACAAGGGAATTATGGGTAAAAAGGGGCATTGTGGAGGGAATTATGGGTAAAGGGGCACTGTGGATGGAGGGAATTATGGGTAAAAGCATTATAGATGGAATTATGGGTAAAAGGGCATCATAGATGGAGGGAATTATGGGAAAATGGCATAGATGGAATTATGAGTAAAGGGGCATTGGATGGAGAGAATTATGGGTAAAGGGGCATTGGATGGAGGGAATTATGGGTAAAGGCATTGTGGAGGGAGGGAATTATAGGTAAAGAAGCATTATAGATGGAGGGAATTATGGGTAAAGGGGCATTATAGATGGAATTATGGGTAAAGGGGCATCATAGATGGAGGGAATTATAGGTAAAGGGCATTATAGATGGAGGGAATTATAGGTAAAGAAGCATTATAGATGGAGGGAATTATGGGTAAAGGAGCATTACAGATGGAATTATGGGTAAAGGGGCATTGTGGATGGAGGGAATTATGGGTAAAGGAGGGGATTATGGGCAAAGGAGCATTGTGGGCAGAAGACCTTTGTGACTCTCACGAATAGAAGACTTAACATTTAAACATAAGTTTTTAGCATTTTCCAAGTTGTACACTCTATATTTCCGACCTGTTTTGCTGAAGGAGGTCGAACAAACCTCGCTTTATGCCCAGGAATGGCCTTGCTAAACTTCCTTCTACATCCCGCCTTCATCCTTTTTACAACTTCCCGTCTGCCTGGTGCTCCAGCAAAGCTGCCCCCCCACCCCAGGACATGAGAACCCCCACTCCTCCTGCAGCAGCCTTCCAACCCTGGATAAGCCAGGAGGCATTCCTCAAACAAACCATCATTGGCCGGAATTTCTCCCCCTCCTGGTGGCAAATCAGGGAGGCCCCCCCTGACCCTTTTGGGACCCTCTGCTGATGACCACATCGTCCCGCCGGCTGGCGTGACCGTCTCTCTCTCTCTCTCTCTCTTTCCAGCCGTCAGCACGGGAATATCACTGGTCCTCTCCGCCCTCTTATCCTTGCTGCTCTTCACCGGGATGCAGATGTACAGCCGCCACCTGGCCTCCAGCGAATGGCTGACCATCCAGGGGGGTCTTTTGGGGTCTGCCCTCTTCATTTTTTCCCTAACTGTATCCTTTCGGGCCCTGTGTGTGCTTGGGCATGTCTGTGTCTGTGTCTCCCCCGAGGGAGACGGCCTGAAATAAAAGCTATTAAAAACAGGTATTTAAAAACCTTACAGAGGTTTTCCCAAGGGGCAGAGGTGAACATCTGGATTAAGATGATTGCAAAATAGGCCCTGCCTTTCCTACGGTTGTCGTCCTTGACCCCGGACCCACGCAAGGCCTTCAACAACCTCGAAAGCCTGATTTTCGGCAAAGGGTTCCAGGCAAAGGTCTTTCCTGAAAGTGAGTCAAATGCAGACAGGGTGGGTGCTTTGGGGGAGCTGAATGGATTATCCTGATTTTTACCTGGATTTTGTGTTG